CGCTCACGAGCTTCGATGAAGGTACTTTTATCGGCCTAAAATATTATTAAACTTGGAGCTTTTACTAATCAAATTAATGCTTTAGAAACAGCAAGACATACACTATGAGCTACCCAAAGTATATTGGTAGATATCATCGCGTTGATCTGTACGAGCGAAAAGAAAATGCACAATTTTCGGCCATTTTCGGCGGCGTCAGGCATCTAAAATGGCGATTTTCAAACTTTCCTCGATTTCGAAAAAACTAAAGCGCTTCAGGACCTTTGAATGGTATTTTCGTAAACAACTCACTACAGTGGTTATTTGGACAAAATATGAGGAAATCGAAAATTTCGCGACTGTCATCTCATTCTCGGTATTTATAGGAACTGGCTCTTAAATGCCTGCCAAATAGTACTATCTATTAAACCCGAGTGTCTTTTTGAGGGATTTAAGGCAACAAACGCTGGTTTAATTCTTCGTTTTTCAGATTGTACTGCTGCTTAGAATCTACAATAGTCAAGATCATAAAGCATGTAAACTTTAATAGCTGGAAAATGCCGATACTATAAATGACTACTTCCCAATCGAGGCCTTAGTTTAATTTCACGAATGTTATATACAATTATCAAGTTTTCTAGACCGTCGATCTGGGATCGGAGCTTACATCACAACTATTTGAGCAGCATCACATCATCCCTACATCATCATCTACATGTGGTAGGATGGCGTAGACAGTTCCATAGCGTGACAGTACGTAATAGATATGGTGTGGCTAAGCATTTTACCAGAAACTTCTAGAGATTTACTATTTACAAGTTAACAAACCCGAAGAAAAGGAGCCATACATAGTTGAAATTAAAAAAAAAAATGATAATTGAGATCAACATTGGTTATTGTTATTCATGACATATTTCTTTACAATCCTGGCAAAAATTTGTGAGACCTTCAGTGGAATTAAACAAAACTGACAAAGTGTCAATTATAATGAATTCTATGTTGGTGGTTTTATCATGTAACTAAATTGCCTTGACTTTAGAGAGACAAGTTAATTTGACATCAGTAAAACCAGGCTTCAGCTGTTAATAATTATTATTTTCCACTTAAAATTTATAACAATAATAATATTAATTAATTAATTAATCAATTAATTGCTATACGTTCATCTTCCTAGGATTGCTTACCAAGATTCGGAAGAACTAACATTCAAAAAGTCTCTAATGGAATAAAAGGAAATGTAAGTCCACACAAGTACGCTCAGCTGACCTGTTTGGCACTTAACATACGATTTCATTTTTATCAACTCCGTGTCTAACTTTCCGTCTTCATTAAACGAGGCTATGTAGTTTCACCTGTTTTACTGTAATAATAAATCTATGTGAAATAATGCATATGACGTTTTAAAAATGTCTTTTCTTGTTCGATTGAAAATGAAACTCATTTTTATCTGACATGTTACACGTGAGTAATATCGGAAAAGGCTATTTTAACCGGTGGAAGTTATAAGAAAAGAAGGGTGTTATGTGACTCCAGCCTGACTAGAAGCAATGATCTCTTCTCTCCTGGGAACATGTTCACGCTGTTTGGGACGACTGAGTGTTGTTGGTGTTGGCAAGTTCCATGTCTTGAGGTTCACGAGTGGGACGAACTCTCCTTGCAAAGCAGCCTGCGCAACATACTATACTTTTCATCTTTTCTCTGAATTGCTGGTTCAACAGTGCATAGACAAACGGGTTGATAGCAGCATTGAACAAGACCATTGTGTTAGCGACGGCGATCGGGACGGGACCAACGCTGCTGGGGTCAAAAGCCCTTAAAGTGTAGGCAATTGAACTTGTGCCCCAGCAGATTCCAAATATGGCACTGATTGTTACAACCATCAAAGAGACGCGCTTTCGTGCTTTCATCGCAGCCTGTGTATTAATAAGTAAAAAGCTCTCTTAAGATAAAAATGTGGATCAAAAAAAAGAAAAAAAAAAAAAAAAAAGAAAAACAAAGTCATTGTTTAAGGCGAATGAAAACCGTGGATGTTTACAATAACTTAACAAGCGGAACCTGTACCTTAAAGTAACAATATGTTTGCACACATTTCATTGTTTAGACGTGCTAATGTTATTGGCCATCAATTTGGTTGGAGTCCAGTCACAGTGTAATTAGTGATAAAATTACAAACTTAAGTTATTAAGATGATTTCTGCAGAACATTCGAGCAATAATGGCAAAAATTAAGTCACCAAAAAACCCTCATAGCATGGTAATATTTTGAACGCAGTAAAGAAGAACTTATCGAGATTAAAGCTCTGAAGCTGACCCCGCGAGAGAAAATTGAACTTGAAGTTATCCATATTTCAACTAAAACAGACGTTTCGCGTTAGTTAAAAACACAATAACACACGCTGTAAGCATTGTTACGAGGTTTGACTTAACCTTTCTCGAGAATGCTTAAGAATTTAATCGCGGGGTCACTTAGAGAAATTAACTAAAGTGAGTTGTNTTCTTATCTTTTGATCTTCAAAAGGAATTTTTCCTCTCGCAAAGGAGCTACAAAGACGAGCAATTATTGCCGAGAGCAAACTCCATTGCTCAAATTTGACCAATACAGATAAACTTTAGTTGTTCAGCTATCGATACGATTTGGCAAAAGTTGAACCCCTACAAACCAGTCAGAAACTAATATTTACGGTAGCAGTATTGATAGTATTATCGGTAATAGTAACTGGACCTAGTGGAGTACAATTCAGTCAGGGAGTAACCGCGCTGCTAGTTTCAAAATCGGACGATCCAGCGTGAAGAGCGAGGCCGATTTTGAAATTACGAGCATGATTACTCCCTGAATTACTATTTAATCGTATCTATAACCAATATCGAAATTGGAATGAAGTCTTTTGAGAACTTCTTTTGAGCGAAAAAGTCAGGTCCATAGGTTTTAAAACTGAAGGAAACATTGAGAAGGAAGCCATTAAAACACGCGTAACTGGCGTAGGAATGGTGTCTGAATGCAATTACAGGTATCCAATTACAAACAGTTGAAATTGGATACCTTTAATAGACTGTTTTCGATATATGAAAATTTAACTTGGCAGTGAGGCCTAGAAGACACAAACAAAGGAAATTGAATGCCATGTTTATTCATTTCTTTTGTTTGTGTCCTTTAGGCCTCACTACCAAGCTGAATTTTAATATGTTGAAAGTGACCTGTAGGACCTCGCGTGATCGCACTCCGATTACGTGGCAAATATGCCCGCAGAGAACCAATCGATATCGAGAATTTTGTTATAGATACGATTAAGCGCTGTAATTGCGATGTGAAATACGATCAACTAAGACTCCTCTGCTCCCTATAAAGATCTGTCGTCATACTTATTTCATATTTGCGGAGTTCGAATTCTAGACATGCTGACTTACCATTTGATGCTGATTGTTTTGAAAGTCGTAATTCCGCTTGAACCACAAAGTGTACACGACTCTGGAGTAGGACACAACCATCAGTATAAGGGGAAACAACGCCAAGGCATCCCACAACAAATTATAACCCACAGCCATCCACTCCTCAGGATAAATATACACACACGAGTCTCTTTCCTCGTCAAAGTGCCATATCAGGAACGGCGGAATATTGATAAATAGTGACAACATCCAAACACCAGGAATCATCACCTGAAATAGTGACACATGAACCTCTTGATATTGATTCAGGTTCTTGCAAATGAACTCGATTATTGCTGGCGACTCCCTCCACTATTTGTTGTACTACCTGTCTCTTTTACTTATGATAGAAATGTTTTCTCTTCGGCTGAGCGAAGCGAAATAGAATAGTAATTTGATTTTCTGTTTGATTGATTATGCTGGTGCTCTAGTCGCCTAAAGTTATGAATAGTATCGTCGCTTGAAAAATCCGCCCGAGCCACCTTAAGCCACCTTAAACAAAAAGCCAATTAGACTGCAATGCAGCACGTGCGGGATAAACATAATGATACAAAATAGAATAGTGGGGTGCAAAAAAAGTGGAATTAACGATATTCTTAATGATCTATTAAATTAACACTCTAGTGACCGATAACAGGAGCTATAATCGGGGACGGAGACCGTAAGCGCGCCCCATTTCTAGTATTAGGGCTGTCCCCATGATATGGGACGATTTTTCTAGTTTTAGAACAAATTGCGCCATCGCCTGCGGCACACGCGCGTACATGCTGCGAGGATTTTTGCGGATGTCGCGCGGGGGAAATGGCGTCCGAAATTCCCGAAATGTTTCGTGTTTTTGGCCCACAACTCAACGCGTTTACCTCTGTTGGAATTTTGCTTAAATATTTTCGTCGTAAGCTGCTCCAGTTGCAGTGAAGTAAGTGTCGAATTTAGGTATGTTCCGCTTTAAGCCTACATATATAGCGCGGACCAAGTTGTGTTCCGATGCTTCTTTTACATGAGCTGTACATTACTCCACTATAAATTTCACATATGTTGAAGATTAACAGCTTTTCCATGACACAGCAAAACACTAGCTGGATATATTTAGATAGAGCAGAGTTTCAGGACTTCATAGTTTTCTAGCTCCTCTTACCACACGCTTGCGAGGAATTTGCCAGTCTATCGCGACCGAAAAGTAAAACAAAACAATTGCTAGTTTGAGTTTCGCCTGAATTGTGAGCAACGCTTGATGTTTCATTAAGGCCCAATAACTTTACGTCCGTAGATACTACTATAATTATATGGACGTGCCCCGTTCTACATCGTGCAAGACATACCAGCACTCAACGAGAGTCAAGGAGCTTAAAGCAAAAATACGCTCTCAAGAAGGGGTTTGCAAAAGAACATGTGCGTTTATATTAAAATAGCTCCACATTGCAGATCAGCCATCGAGTGCCTAGAAATCTAGAAAAAATACCGTCAGAGAAACACAAAATAACGAGGTCGAGCTTCAAAAAAGTAAGGATCGAAAAGTACATTACGGCATTGGCTAGCTGTTATAGCCAATAGAAACCAGACATTTTCTATCCGTCACAAGGGTACACACCACGAGAAGTTTGTGCCAAGCCGCAGAATGTCTTGCATTCTCACCGAGGTACGAGTTGCACCAGCAACTTCAGACGTACAGAGTATTTTGGAAATACCGGCAACTGATGAGATCCACATGTAGGATCGAAACCATGGTCTTGCCTGAACTAAGCCGAATGAATGGCATATAAAACACGCAAAACAGTCAACAGGACTTGCGCGTAAACAGCTACATTCTTGTTATTTGCGTGTTTTGTACAGTCAGCAAACATGACAAATTGTACTTCCGCCGCACTTTCGCGTGAAAACGTACATCGAACTCAAACAATAACTCTATAGTTTTTAAACATGGTTAAGATTGATAAATGTTTGAGAACGTAAAGCTAAGCTGAAAGTATGTTAATAGATCAGAAATAATCAGCAAAGTTGCGATGACGCTTTCTTTAATCAACTTCGAATAACGATTTCGATTTTGTTGATCGAGTTATCAAAACTCCTTGTCTATTTTCATTTTCGCACTGTAAAATTTCACTCTGTTGAAGAAACACACATGATGTTAGTGGCCTTTTTGCGTTCGTGAAATTTGTGGCAGCATCTTAGCACAAAAGATAATGAAATAAATCTTTGTCAAGATTTCTTGACAATTGAAAACACCGACTCGGACTTGAAAGTGCACAAGCTGCACTATGCAAATGAGCTACTTGTACGCGTCAGACTTTCCTTTCAAAAACTTTTGCAAACTCGCCAAAGAA